CACTCTAATAACATTCCGGCCACTACGCTATCTCTCCTTTCGCATTTAAGTCTGACGCACGCGTGCTACACACCCGATCCATCCCATCCTCCTTGGTTTAATGGCCTCAATAATATTTGGTGAAGTGTATTCATTATGAAGTTCCCTTTTATGTAATTTTCACCATATTTTATAAAAGATATAAATATATATATTCAACTTGTGCTCTTGATGGAAATAAGCGATCGGTTTGATGATGTGACTCTCTTTACCTTTCGAGGAAAACTCACGGCAGTTCTGTATTCGGCGAAATGTCTATGTCACTCCTAGGACTCCAAACCCGGCACTCAGACGCTGTCAGTATGGCAAGATGATTAGTGAACCGTGAACTAGAACAGACGTAGAAGCAAGCGGTCTGACACTGTGTGGAGGAAAACGACGGATAAAATTCAGTCAGGACTGCANCCAAGCGTACGAAACAGGAGTGAAACCTTTACAAAGATGTAACGGCTCCTTCTAATTATTTACTTTATTAACAAACGTGTGTACATATTTCATTTTTACATTCACTGCCAGGTAATTTTGCGTAACTTTGGCGGAAACAGCTCAAGACACTGTTTGCAGGGCCTTGATTCTGGGTCAAGGTTCCTACATCACCGACTTTCATCTCTCGAAACAAAACAAAAGGTGAGATAACAATCTGCTCTTCGCGTGGTCAGAAATGGTTAGCTTGAAAACGCAAAGTGTGATCAGTGTGCTGACCGGAAGGCTGCCTGGTCCTTCGTCACCCACAACGTCCATTGCTGGCCTACAGTTGTCTTGTTGCTTGGCAACCGTTTAGTGTACAAAAGAATGACGGAACGGTGCAATGGTGGTAAACAATATAACCGTGTTGGATTTCAGGTTCTCACAGCGGTAACTATGAAGAAGTCCACCTTCTGGGATATAACCACGTGTAGTTCAGAGAAACCGACGTTTCGGAACATATATCGTCTCCATATTCAGGGTCAAAGTGTAAGGGTAGTAAGAAACCAGCATGAAAGTGGCAAGCATTATATCTCAGAAGTTGGGATTTTTAATAGAATAGCGGCCAACCGCGTTCTCACAACAAGCTGGTAATTTCATTATTTCAGTACAGGGAAAAAATAAATTAAAAGAATTAAGCGTAGATGGGAGAATAATATTAAAACAGATCTTCAAGAAACAGAGTGAGAGGGCGCAGAGTGGATTCTTCTGGTTCAGGTTAAAGCCCACTGGAGAGATCTAGCGAACACAGTAGTGAACTTTCGGGTTCAGTAAAAGTCGGAGAATTTCTGGAGCAGCTGACTGACTATCAGCTTCTCAAGGATAATTCTGCTCCGATAAGCAGTTCGAAGAACGGACAATGTCGCACTAATCCTGCCTACATCGGACCGCGCCGCCTGATAAATATTACTGCATATCTTTCGGAACGACATATTTTTGTCCTGGGTCCGAACTCTGGATGCCAAATCGACGTGTCAATTAGTCGGTCCATTAATAAAAAATTAATTAAATTCCTGTCTTCCAAGAGAGATCGCCATTCTGACGCCACAGCTGGTTACAGTATGGTGCTCGGTACACAAACCCAACCTGCACAGCCTCAGCTGACAGCGGCGGGCGCGTCCGGTTTACTGCGAAGTGGGGAATTTCTTGACCAATCTGACCTACCACCTTTGCAACAAAGATGGTGCAGTCAATTTGTTAGGAGCGGAAAGTAGATGAGCGGAAGGATTTTGAAACATAGTCCCTAAACATTTATTGCGTTACCAGGCGCCGACATAAGCCCCACTGTCACAAGAGGCGCGCTTTCACTCAGCGGTGTTAAATCGTGACTCCCTTGGCTTTCACTTGAGCAGTGGCGACTCGTGAGCTCACACATCGCCACTTGAGCTTCCTGCTCCGTGTACACGGCACGCAGCATCCAGGCTGTGCACTTTCGGACGAAACGGCATGGGAAACCGAGGTACCAGGAGAAACTGCGTCTCAGGTCTACTTTGTCTAACACAAATCCAACATGACCTGACCTGGGATCGAAGTCCAGCTAAATAATCTATATATAATTAAGTCTCAGGACAGCAACGTCGTAATGTCTTCCCCGTGGAAACCGAACGCCAAACCAGAACCAGGGGTGATGGAAGTAAATAGCAATTTAAACTTCTTGCATTAATTGGAACACCGTGCTTACACGGTGTCACATCACAAGGACTGCAATCTGAAAAAAAGTGTTTCAGTGCATATTGCAGTGTGAACCTTTGCCGAAAAAAAGGAACACCTAAACAAGAGTTTCTGAATCGCCTATCGGCGATAAATTTTAACGGATGCAAGAAACTCTTACTATCAACCAAAATAAACCAATCGATTTTTCGAAAAAAAAAAATGTGTTGATCTAAACCGCGAGAAGGGTTCATCTATAGGCCACATAGGCTATGGGCTGGGCGGGCGAGTGAATATTCTGAGTTCGATTCCTGGTGGGGGCGAGAGATTTTTCTCCACGCTGGCTCTGGGGCACACGGGGCTGTTTCCCCGGGGGTAAAACTGCAGGTGCGTGACACTGGCCATTCACATCCATGTCTTCAGGCAGTAGTGTTGCTTAATTACTTGAGTGCAGACTTTACCTTAATTTTAACGATATGAGGTAGGAAATTTGGATATTTTACCGGCCCGCAGTACAGTTTCGGTTGAGACTAGTATTACTAGCACTGTCGTCGTCATCATCATCATCATCATCATCATCATCATCATCATCATCATCATCACGATCACTTGTCTGTGGAAACGGCGGCTGGAAATGGGAACTGTAAAAATATTCCCTTCAATTTTCAAAGGCATTTTGTGGGCCCCACAGCCGGTCTGGAGAACGTGGAGGGGAGAAAATTCTTGCCCCTACCGGGACTCGAACTCCGACCCGTCGGTCGTCCGGCCCGTAGCCAGTCCCTATACCGACTGCGCTATCCCCTTGTATCGAGGAGCCTTCCTTCAAGACGTAACTGGGACGGCTGAAGAAGAAAAAGCATCTGCAGCTACTGTTTGGCTTTCTGTAGCTGGAGCTAGAAATCAGGGCACCGCCATGACACCAACCATAGCACAATGTAAACAAGTGAACGTGACGACAAACAGAACACGACATGATGCCATTTTGTTTCTTTGCGCAACATTCTTGCTCCTAATGACGCAATGTTTTGCTGTCAGACTATCCTCAGCTGTAACGCAACGCAACCCGAGGGCTTGTTGCGCACCGTCAGCAAAAATTCCACAAGACCACTACAAAGAAATTTGCCTTAAAGGTAGCTCTGTAGCCCGAAGGCAAGAGTGGTGCATACCAGGCCGCGACTTCATACGTCACTTTCGTGCACGGATGTTATACAGTGCCTGAGCAGTGCTCACTAGTCTCGATGTCCTTGCAAAAGTCTGTCACGTTAGATAGTAAGTTTGGAGAACCGTTCTAAGACAGAAGTAATAAACAAGAGCAGAATATGTGACGAGGGAAAGTCATGGGAGAAATGAAAGACGCTTTATTTCGAGAAGCGAAGAGCAAAGCCTTTTGGGGCAGTATGGAGTAGTGTATAATTGCATAATTTGAGAGTCCCAAGCGATTTAATTCTGATAAATTTAAATCGAGGGAGCTGCGCGACAAGGACGCAGTATCTACTCAGAACTCGTGAACCGTCTCTGCATTCGGTTCACGACAGGAGCACCGGAAATCCTGTGTAGATGCACGCTGGCTTCTATGTAGGGGAGGCACACGAAAACTCTGTCTGATGAAAATGTAAAGCTCTTTAATGTTAAATTAGGTGAGTGGTACATATAGTTACCATTGACCTATAGAAGGATTTGTATATAAACACCGAGGACAATGAGAAACAGGTTTGGGAACATGTGCACCCCAAACTCATTTTCCGGGCCCAGAAATTGTACGCGCAGCCATATTTGTATCCACACCAGATTCGTGGTGGATCCTCCAAACTGAGGAGAAATTTCGGACCGCCGCCATGTTGACGTACAGGCCCGTAACAACAGCTGCATGCCCACTGTCGCGTGACAGTTAAGCTCCAGAATCAGAACTCTCACCGAACGGTCTACTAACCGCGATTCCAACCCAGGACAATTACGTAGCAGCACCGAGCGGTAACGGGCGTAGATTTGCACTGGGGAGATGCTGGGTTCGGATATCGGCTATCGTGGTTTTCCACAGTCCCTACAGGCAAATATCTGAGTTTATCAGTAAGTCTAGCAGTCGATGCCTATGTTCTAGATACTGCGCAGTTAAGTAAATCCATGCCCCTTGCTTTCTGTCTTCTGAGAAGCGTCACGTCTCACAGGGACGCTTGTTACTGAAGTGACGTCGCCATATGAAACTGGCCTGCCATGACCTTGCATCACAATGCACGACGGCTCCTGGAAAGGACGAGGTATTGACTGTAAGGATGTTTTGTAGCTGCTCATTTGTTTTACTTTTTCCGGAACAAGCGGTAGAACGCAAGTCAGGGGAGCTGAGATACAACCTCGACATTGGAAGGTCAATATCGCCTGTCAAGAAATCCTTTAAGTGAACGCCACATTTGCGTAAGCAACCTTAGCGAGTACGTTCGAATGTTTCCACCGGCGTATGAATACGGCAAGTGTGTCGAAAGTAGAATATAATAATTTTCCAATGATGACGTAACATCGCAGATGTTTCAGACGGGCAATAGCTGACTCGGGTTTATTTTTCTACAGCTTTACCAAAGTTTTCTTTCTTAAGAAGCCTGGGTTGGTCTCAAAGCTTGTATGGATGTTTGTGTAAAACAATGAATCATTTACAGTCTGAACCAGTCTGTTAGTCAATAAGAAAGACGCAATCACCAATCAAGCAAACTGTGTAAACATATCGATTAATGTGATTAAAGTGATTTCGCGTGCAGTTGTGTCAGCGCCAAGAGGTTCATTCGACCTTTCTCAGTAAGGACGGTGTTTGTCCAGCATCTGCATCAGCTGGCTAGGGGCAGAGTCGGGATGTTCGCTACAACCGAGATACACCGACCACGTTAGCCTCGAAGGTTCAAGCCATCGTTGTGCAGTTTCTGTGACAAGTAAAATAAAAAATACGTGTATGTTTACAGCGCAGAGCTGGTTGAATGTTTTGGTGTTTATTTTAGGCTGCTGCCAGTAAGCAGACTGTCTGGCGTCGAGTGGTAAGCTGAATGCTCTGAAAGAAGAAGGCTTTGGTTGCAGCTTGATGGGCTTTACCTTTTGGCCGTGACAATGAAGATAGTACATTCGTCCAAAAAGTCGGTGAACTTCTGCCAGAGCTCACATCTCAGAAGACAACCACCCAGCTGGACTCCACCCCCCACTAAGCGAATTTTAAAAAAGATTTAATTTAGGTACGATACAACATGAACAGACTGCTGCTAAGCTTGTCAAGACATCCCATACGTTTTATGGTATCGGAATGTTCATTGCCGTGTTCACAAGAGCAGGCCACTGGTCCTCATCATGAAGCTGCTTGTTACGTAAACTTGTCCAGAGGAGATCATGAGCAGCAGATCTCCGCTTGGTGCCCTTTGCAGCACAGCGCGCTCACGACATACTTTCGCAAACTACTAAACACGTGTTACGCCTGGTTCTGATGGACGCAAATTCTCGGGGCAGCAACTTTCCTTCGTGCATGCCGCAATGATGGATCTGCGCATCTCCAAGTTCCCACAGCAGCGACTCCGAGACGCTGCGTATGCAGTGTCCAAAGCATCTCTGGAGGCGGGCGCGCCGTCATCACTAGCTTCTATTCCACAGTCAGTCAGAGTCAGAGGTACTTTACGACTGCCAGTTTATCAGTTCGTCTCGGTAACAAACCCCTTCAGACTCAAGACCAGTAATTTTATTTTTCAACTGAACACTTATGGTCATAGTGATTATTTAATATTCTCTCTGACGATAGGATGGGTTTGTCGCTTACAATTGCTACTGGTCCTCGCTAGTGTAGTCATTCTCAGGTCAGAGACGATATTTCACTGTCTCAGGTTCGAGACTCCACCTATCTGGAGGGCCAGGTCTCTCCATTTATGTCTCCCAGGAGCATAGTGGCCCGGTTATACCCCCAAGCACTGGGTTCTCTTTTCGTCACCTTCTACGTCTCGCAGGGCTACTGTGGAGGTAAAGTTCTTGAATTTTTGTGTTTCTGGGTTCTAATAATAAATATTAACCATATTTTACATACTGTCGCCGACTATTCGATTGTTCTAGATCACTTTTCAGTGAAAATGAGACAATGAACGTTTCCAAATCTCCACATACTTCCATGGGCTCTCCTTCCTTGCAAATGTGAGATTTCAGAATGTGTTTTGTGGCGCACAGACCTGAAATTTCGTCACCAAGTTAGCAGGAGCCCTGTCCTGAGCCGGAAGAATCCAGTCCACACCCTCCCGTTCTATTTCATTAATTCCGTTTTAATATTATTCATCCATCTACGACTAGATCTTCCTAGTTGCCTCTGTCATTCAGGTATCCCTATCACTTATCTTCTCTATACTTGCTACATGCCAAGTCCATCTCAGCCTCCTTGACTTGATAGTTCTGATCACAATAAACAAATAATATCTATACTTCGGTACAGTTTATCCAAATAGGCTGGTGTAGAGGCTAGACTAGTGCTCGGTTCGAATTTCGGCCAGGGCACCGGCTGTACTCACAAAGGTTTGTCGGGCTTCTCCTCTGTCCCTTCGGATAAATACCATGATAGTATCCCGAGTCGATCATGACTGAGTCCTTCCAAATCCTTTCCAATTCATTCGTCATCTACCATCTGAACGTACATAGTCCTGACGTCGCAAGCGTCACTAAATGACCCACAGAGACACTGCAACGGACCGCGGCTTCAGACAGCATCAGGAAAAGTGGCAATACGGCATGTCTCATCCCTTAGGGCAGAGCTTCCCAGATACATTCGAAAACGGGACCTTTTCGCCGTCGACAAATGCTTGTTGAACCACCTAATAAATTTCTTATACACACACTCCGTGGTTTAATCCGCAAGCGAACTATACCGACCGAGCGACCGCCGCTTGTCAGAAAAGTTAGTGCCAATTTTAACGGATAGAGGGTGTCGCGTGGTCAGCGTAATGAATCCCCACGGCCGTTAATTTCGGTTTTCTAGACCGGAGCCTCTATTTCTTTGTAATAGCTCTTCAATTATCCTCATGAGGCTGAGTGGACCCCGTTCCAGACCCACTACTTCTCAGAAAATCTTGTAGCGACGGGAATCGAACCCGGACCTCTGGATGGGTAGCTAGGAACTCTGACCACTAGACCACAGAGGCGGTCAATAAAATTCTTAATGAATGTATGTTACAATGTTCTGTGGTAGATACATGGGTTGAATCTGATGATACGTATTTTGATAATACACCCACGTCTGGAAACGCTTTGTTTACGCCCTAGGGCCTCTGCAATGTAAAGGAGGACGCCCTTACCTCTTACCTCTGCGGTTTACTGGTGACATTTACCTAACATTTCTCCGAGAGAGCTTACCCGAGCTGCTGGAAGCGGTGCCTTTGGAAGTCCGTCGTGAAATGTGGTTCTAACATGATGGCGCCCCGACACACTGCACTAATGTCGTCAGTGAGTATTTGGATGAAACTTTGGCAACAGACGGATTGGACGTGGAGGGCCCCTCGCTCCTCTGACTTGACTCCACTGGATTTCTGTCTCTGGGGGGTACATGCAAAGCCCGGTGTACGAGACTCCAGTGGAGACACAAACTGATCTTGTGGCAAGAATTGCAGTAGCAGCTGGAACAGTCCGGGAAATGCAGGGAATCTTTCAAAGAGTTCAGCATAACATAACCAGGAGGTGCAAAACATGCAGTGAGGTCGGTGGCCGCCATTTTGAGCAACTTTTGTAATATATAACAACGATAACATCCTCTAAAACTTATGCATCCTCTCGGAAAATTTGTGGCCCTTAGTGCCAAAAGGAAGAGTTTCCGGACATGGGAGTATTAACAAAATATGATCAGATTGAACCCATCTATCTACCATAGAGCGTTGTAGCATGTATTTATTTACATCCTGTATATATGAAACAAGGATATGAGATTAACGTATTAAAACTGCATTGAATTTATACGAAAAATGAAGAAGCTTAAAACTAATGTCACATGTTTTCCATTTTCGATGCAAAATGTTTTTATTAGTGGACGTTCCTTCTGTTGAAAAAATAGACGTAGGCTCATTGGATCACCTTGCTGTCTGTGTGTCTGTGTATCTCCCCATTTCAACATTTCAATGCCTGATCCAATCTTTATGTGCAAATCACGGCACCTGAGACCACCTCAATGACGTATTTTACAAACCTCTTCCGTCATTTTGTGTGTCTGTATATGTATCCTCCTATCGTTGCTAGGCAACAGTTCGGTAAATACGTTCCCGTGGCAATGAAGAATTGTTGGATGCATCGTTTTCTATGCGGTCCGTGCCGTATTTAAGGAAAGTAGGTGCTTAGTTCTTCTCAGACCTTCTTGTTTTCTCTCCATAAATTATTTTTATGTTTCAATTGTTACTGGAAAGCTTAATTCTCAAATCTGCCACCCCTTTTTGTTCTGTTTGTGTATTTTGTTTTTGTTGCTGAGTAATTCGGGTGTCCTGTTTCGCACAAATATATGTTGGCAGACGGTATCAGCTGACGCATTGCACGTCTGAGCCAAACACAATTAATTTTGTTACTGAACGTCACCCATCGTCCTGTTTATATTTCAAAACACGACGTTTCGGAGACTGGATTCTGTCTGTGTCTCAAGTCTCCTAAACGCTTTGTTTCGAAATATAAACAGGACGATGGATAAGGTCCAGAAACATAATATTTGTACTAATGTACCATTGTTAGGGCCGCGCTATAGCTCAAGCGGTTAGTCGCTGGCTTCCCACCACGGCGGCCCGGGTTCGATCCCGGGTCTGGTCAAGTGGGATTTGTGGTGGACAAAGTGGCGCTGAGGCAGGTTTCCTCCGAGTACTTCGGTTTCCTCTGCCAATCTTCATTCCACCAATTGCTCCACAATCACCCTCACCTATCATCTGGGGCTGGTACAATAGGCCAGAAGTGTCCGCAGTACAAGGGACTTAGTCCCACCCCTCTAGCAATAAAATAATTATCATCGTCACAGGCTTTTAGATCTTATTTACAGTTTATTAAACTGTTCCTTCGAAAGAGACATTTCTAGTCTAAAGAAACTCCAAAATAAAAATAATTTTATACTGATTTTGTTTTTGTGGAACTCTTTATGTTTCAGTTCGCGGAATACCGAGGCTCCGAGGGTCACTGCAGCACAGCACCTCAGAAGCACGGACAGAAGAAGTGACCATGACTCTGTTCCTGTCATCACCCAACCTTGGAAGACATGTGTCAGCGAGTTCGCCTCAATTACAGCAGCTATCTTCGTTTCAAAGAACTTCTGCATTTCTGATTTTGTTATATAATGTTGTGACTATGCGAATTTCGTTTAATTAGATATCAGAGTTAAGATTTTCCCTTAGGCCAGGTCAGTACCAGTGTCTAAGGACATATAGAATTTTTTTTGGAGGTCCGAAGGATTACAATTCTTCGTTCCATCGGCCTGGGACTGTCTAGCAGCCAGTGTGTGGTGAGGAACCCAGGTAAATGGTAATTATTCGCAATAACTTATTTATTTGTAAGGTAAAGTTCTCCCTACGCTTAATTAAACCCCACGATATTCTTAACCTCAACACTAGATGGAAGTGTGTGGTCAGCCTCACGCCCAGGCCGATTCACCCCAGGGGAAAGCCTCTTGTGTATCCTCCATTGGTTATGAGGCTGCGCCTGGACACGTCGCAGAAAACAGGGAAGTCCTTTGTCCTCGCAGGGATTCGGTGTAGCGAAGAGTTCTGCAAATAATGACTGTAGAAAGCTCTCTGACGTCAGGGCTAAATTCAGGAATCTTGAGGTCCCTACATACAGAGGTAGGGAAATGCAATGACGGACTTCTGTCACTGCGCGTGGCGTCGTTTCGGATGCTTGTGTGTTCCACAGGATTACTGGGCTTTTGGACTTCTTCCATCGTCCGGAATTTTAGGTAAGAGGACACGACGTTTCGGGAACTGGATCTGTTTCCGTCTTCAGATGAGAAAGGAAGACACCCACTCAGTTGGGCCCCTTAAAAAGAGCTAATCTCAATCACTGGTCGTTCTTTCCTGCATTAACCGTCTTTTAGGGTGCTCCGGCTGGCAATTACAGGGGTGTGCCTCTAAAGGATTATGGCCCGAACAAGCAGGGTTCAATTCTCAGAAGAGGCAACAAATCGTTCTGTTCACCGCAGCATCCACGCTGCTTCCGGGATCCATCCATCTCCCGTCCAATGGGTACCGCGCGCTGTAACCGGACGTAAAGTTCACCATTCAACTCCATATAGAGCGCCATGTTTACTGCTGCTTCCGTGACTGGCAGAGGGCCACATCACGATCAAGCACTCTCCAACTTTGCACCTTACGTTCCTCCCATCAGTTTCTCAACGAACCTCTTCGGGGTCATATGTACGGAGACTCTATAGCGACGAATGGTAGGATGGCTGATGAATTGGAAAGGATTTGTAAGGAAGCGGCCGTAATCTCACTGAGGCATTATCTCAGTATTTCAGTAAAATGAGTGAGGTAAACTATTAAGAAACTCACTACAGCCGGTGTTGGGGCCGAGATTAGGTAGATACAGCAGGTTCCCCCGAAACATCGGCAAACATCTACCACGATATGTGGCGTCACATCTCGGATGACCGCAACCTCCACTGTCACCCCTGTGAGAACCTCAGACCTCATTAAGTTTATCTTTCTCCAAAAAGCCTAATGATTTTTCAATCAATGACGGAAGGTCTCACGTCCCCAAGGGCTGAGAAACACTGAAGTCTGCCTTACTGCACCTCCGCGCCTTTTCCCCTTACTTTTGTTGGCAAGCTCTGTCCGTTAAGGAGTTTGCCATTCTCTCCACAGATGGCAGAATGTGCTGGCGCTTTCTGTGAAAGGAGGTCAGAGCGTTTTGCAACATGCACAAAGCTAGCCTACACTGCAAAATGTTCTAGTTTCGGTAAGACGGGATCTGGCAGGGCCCATCCCTGCTGTCCCTGCTTACAGAGTAAGCTAAGAAAATTATATTTGTGCTTAATTAAGCACCACGCCATGAAGGCATGTGAAGGACTAGACCTCAACACTAGACAGAGGTGGGTGGTCAGCTTCACGTCCCAGTCCCTACTACCACGAGGAGGAACACGGGTAACCACTGGATAGGAGGCTGGTTGAGCCCCAGAAACCATTCGGACGTCATGGAAAAGAAAAATAATCTCTTATCACTCCCGGGATTCAAACTTCGATTCCTCAGTCGTGCAGCTAGTGGCCTAGTCGCTGTAGAGGCTTTCCCCTACTTCGACAGTCCCTGTCTTACCGACAGAGCTATGTGCAATTCAAGTAGTCACGTTGCATTCTGAACTGGACCCCTCACAGGACTCATCCTCACTACGCGACCTTGGAAATAAAATCGGGGTTTTCCGGCAAACCACTTTTTCTAATTGTTTCATATGACCTTATTATTTGATTCCAATTCGTCTACATGCGATTAAAACTTACTCAACATCGCTCAAGCTCTTTTCTAGAACATTTTAAATTCTGTAATTGTAGTACCGTCATATTCCGAAGTCCCTCCTACGCATGCGCTTCTGATGGAAAGATGGATGGTCTCCGTAAATTACTAACTTTCTAATGTAAAATATCTGGAGACATTTTGGGGAAAATAAATTTTTTGGGGGGGGGGACGATCTCAATTGCCCTGATTTTTGAGCTAGGACGTACGTATTCACAGTGCAGTGACATAGCATGCATATGCCCTTGAGTACCGAACAAGAATATAATTCGTTCAACCGTTCAGGAGTTAGCGAGGAGTACAAACATACACGGAGACAGACAAACCAAAAACCTCTTTTCATATTGGGGGGGGGAGTTAGAACGTGTAAATCCGTCAAAATATTGATATAGAGTTCTTTCTCAGTCAAATACTTCCTCACACATACTACTCAAGGCGGGAAATGAAGAAACTGCCAACTGCTTCGCACTGAACGTAAAAAGTCGGTAGTCAGACCCTCGTTTGTACTGCAGTTCCTCATCATGTTCAAGTATCTCGAGCGGTCGGAACTGCAAAGACTGGCTCAAGGGGAAGCCGATGTTTGTCAATTAACTTGTGAGTCAGAGGTGTGCTAACTACGGCCCGCGGTGTTGTTCAGATATTACTAATCACACGTCCATATGTCGTTTAACAGGAGCCTGGAAAAAATTACAAATGAGTAGCTTCATAAATCTTACTCTTCACTTAGTTGTAGTGAGCAAGGACGATAAAATGGACGGGTCATGTAGCGCGTATGGGTAAAAAAAGGGTAAAGCGATCCCTGTAAGAGGCTGTCGAGGCCCATGGGGTTGTGAGACGTCGAGGCTCCTACATTTTCTAGATATTCGGCTAGTACTCATTTCTATTAGAGGCTGAGTCGACCCCAGGGCCACAGTGCGGCTGGAAGGATTAGGTCAATTGAAAAATCCAACAAGGAAGCGAAATGCATACAATATTGTACTTGGAAACCGTGAAGAGAAGAGACCACATGGGAGAAGTGGGTGTAAACGTGAGGATAATATTAAAAACGGTGATATATACCTATGGTGTGAGGATGCGGAAAGGATTCGTGTGGCTCAGGACAGGTACCACTGGCGATCTCTTGCGAATATGGTAATGAACTTTGGGGTTCCATAAAAGGTAGGGATGTTCTCGAGCAGCTTTTGAAGAAGTACTCAGCCAGCCGCAGGGGCTAAGTCCCCTGTGAAAGCAAGAGTGACCGTGCCCCGAAGCTTGCACACCCTGCAGAGGAATGTGGTAGCTAAAGCATCGAGATTGGGCGCCGGCCGACGCATTTCGTAACTGTGCCACTTTCGGTAACAAGACACACGTCTGCTACAGTCTCAACGGCAAAACCAGATGTAACGGTCCTATATCAGCATGACACTGTCCCCAGCGCCTTGAGCACGTGAAGGTTAGGTTGCCATTGCCAGAACATTTCTTACGTCACACGAACATTTATGTGCAAAATCGGAATTGCAGACTTAAATTACACTCTCACGTTAGGAGGAAAATAAGAAAAACTCTGTTTTTGAATTATTTCCAGTTTGGGCTCCGGAACTTACACAAGACAACAATGACAATTGAAACAATTATTTCTGTATTTAATTGTTCAACAAAAGGGAAAAAAATTAACGACAATCGTCAACTTTTGTACATTGCAGGAGAGGTAAACATGTTAAAGCTATTCGTATTACACTGTGTGTAAAACATACGCATGACCGCCATGTCGAGACGTCATCAACGTAAAGTTACTAGATTCTTACTGATTTTAGGCTTTCAAGGTGCCTAATTATTAATGTTAATTCTGTTTCTGGTTTGGTATATCATGTGATTGTGAGCGATGCGGCCGACTTTTCGGAGTTAAATACTGTCTCCATGAAGATGGCGTCGGTATGTACCTGCGAAGCATCGGCAACATCGACCAGAACAATATGGTGTAACAACCCAGTAACAGAATTTACATAAAATAATAGTTCATCAAAGTAAATCCATGCATGTTATTATACATTCACCCTACGTAACCAAACCTGTCCGACAGTGAAAATGGGCAATGCTGATCTACCCCAGAAAAGTGAAATGAAATACCTGGCCATGCATCTCGAAGGAAGACTGACATGGGCAAAGCACACCAAAACCAAAAGAAGACAGCTCAACCAAAAACGAAACAGATGCACTGGCTACTCGAAAGAAGATCAACAAGATCACCAGAAAGCAAACTCCTCCTATACAAAGCAGCACTTAAACCCATGTGGACCTATGGAATTCAGCTATGGGGGAAAGCCTCCAATTCCAACATTTAAACCCTCCAGCGCTTTCAATTCAAGACTCTCCGATCTATTCTTAGGGCACCTTGGTACATGAACCACCACAGGATCCGTGAAGACCTACAAATGAACGCAGTGCTCAGTCAAATAAAAATGCGGATTAACAATTACTTAATAAAATTATAAAACCACAGTAATGTACTAGCAGTGAACTTAATAGATGATAGCGAAATTACACTTAGACAGAAAAAATACACAGTCCTAGATCTACCAGAAGACCTGAGTAAAACCGCAATTCAAATCATAACTAAGTGAACAAAAAAAAATTATACGCGTTACGCCAGTGAGCATAACTCAAGAACGAGCCAGTACTTATTGAACATATATATTTATTTCAGACCATGCGGATTGTATGTAATAAATCTATGAGAAAAAAATAGATCCTGCATAATTTTTCTCCATTTCACAGCATCCGGACTGGCTCCGAGGCCCACCCAATCTCTTATCCAATGGATACCGAGGGTTCTTGTCCTGTGGGTAAACCGGCCGGGTTTGAAGCTGAACATCTAATGCCGAAGTTAAGAATGGTGGAGCTATACCCATTCTCACCCATACGTCGTCATGGCATGATAATTAATCAGTGGAACAACTTTTTTTTTTTCCTTGGCACTACAGCCCCAGTGGTCCTAGGCCTACCTCCATGA